AGTACATTGATGTAGGATTTATTTTAAATTGGCTTTCAACTATGTAGGCTTCCGACAATATAGATTTTTAACTTCTTTAAAATAAAATTTACGATGAAATTAATTTTTAAATATGGCTTTTTGAGTGTCAAACTGATAGGTTATTCAATGACTTGGTAATTAATTATTTTTCGAACAAATATTTACTAATATCTATTGAATATTTTATTTATTGAAACGAATAATTCATAGAGCTTAAAATTAAATATTTTATATATGCACATAGTACAAAATATTATAAAATGTTAAGTTTCAGAAAATGTACAACGTTTTTTTAAATAAATATTTGTTTAAAACATGATTTAAAAGATTTTTCTGTTTGCGTTTTATTTTTATTCCACATAAATATGTTAAAATTTTTGGAACTTAAATGTTTTTATTGAAAACACATTTTTAGATTTTTATTAAAGCAGTATAAATTTATTTTTCATTTCATATTACGATTATTTTATCTACTTAAAATTGAATACCCAATTTAATTTATTTGCGAAGACAAAAACTCATTAAAAACAAAAAACATAAATTCAGGATATTTTACAAATAAGTTCAAAATGCTTTAACTAAAAATATAATGATTTATATGCAGACAACAGTAATTAATAGAATAATATCAATTTGAAAAAGGCAATTACAATTTCCACAACAAAAAGTTGCAATTACCTTCGTAAATAGTTAAATTGATAACTCTGCTCTGCACTGGTACGATTATCTCAGCTAACTTTTGTTAAGTTTGATTAATTTAAATTTCTTTTTGTAATTATTACACTATTGGACTTTTTAAAAGTGAAATTATTATATGTACCTCAAAATTTAGTTCTTTTCTTAGTTTTCTCTTTTTGTGATTTTTTTTGATAAACATGCATTTTACCACTAGTAAGTATTAATAAATGTAATTTTAACTCTAATCATGAAATTAGAACACACTTTTACTTTAATTACTTTTGTATAAATAATAATAAAAAAAAAAAAGATTTAAAAAAAATAGAATAAATATATTTTTGTTAGAAATAACATAAACGAAAAATTTATTCTTTAAGGATAGTTAAAGTTTTCAATACTTTCAGCTTACCATTTCAGTTTGGTATTTTCAATAATTAAAACACACACAACAAAGAATTTAAAAAAATATTAATGAACTATAAAAAATAAAGCTGTAATAAAGTTAACTAATGAAGAAAAAATTATAAAGATTTAATGAAAAAATTGATTACTCATATAATGTATCGGAACTTTAGGTTAAAGTTAACAAATTAAACAATACAAGATAGATGTTGCCTACTTTAGTTGAACTTGAAACAAACTTAATAACAAACAGCACAAATATAATAATTAAAAATATTTCCTTTGAATAATACACAAAGATCAGTGTTTCTTAAAATAACACAATTCCAATAAAGTAAGAACTTTAAGTAAAATGATAAGATTAATGGAAAAATAATTTTTTTTTTTTAGCACTAGCTATTAATTTATATGAGTAAATTAAATAAAAAAAACATTTTCGGTGTATTTCTTTATAATAGTTTTATGTGTCAACAAGTATTACATTTTTGGGAAGTAAATTTTAAATTAAAATCTAATTTAAAATGTATTACCCATTAATTTAAATAACGCTATAACATTTAATATATTAATTAAATTTTTACTTTCAAAATAATTTTAAACTACAAGGTGACTGTCAATAGGCAAATGCTTACAATATTTAAACGTAAAATTTAGTATTCCTTAATATCATTTAATATATATGATATAAATTATTTTTTGTTAGGTTGAATGTTTTTAAAAATCACTATAATTGACATATTCATAGATATTATACGTGATTCTTGAGTGCTCAGTAATTCTGCATGATGAAACAAGAATCATTATATTAAAATTTTCAATGACTTTTAGTCACTCAACAATTGTAATAGAGTTCAAAATATTTATCAAATATTTTAGCAAAAGAAAAATTATCTAATTAAAGTGTGGGTAATAAGACCTAATACAAGCTAAGCCTTATTACCCGCACCTACCTTAATAAAAAATTTAAATCACAATATTTTATTAAATAGAAAATTTCAATTAGACTTCTTTCATTAATAGATAGCATTATATCTATTTTAATATTGATATAAAGTTATATTTACAATGTTGTAATATTTTATAGTAGACAGGATGTTTTAATACAAATATAAATAAAAAATAAGAGTTGGTACATCAGACCGGATGGAATAATCAACACAATTCACCTTTGGTCTATTTTCAATGTGATTTGTTTATTATATACATATTAATTTTACACAAAAACTTATAATTTATTTGTTATTAATATTTTTTTTAAATTATTTTTCAAAAAAAAATAATATATATAAATACGCCAAGTTGCGTTATATACAACAATTATTTTAATAAAGTACTAGTAATGGAATTCATACAAGATGCAATATAATTGGTCAACATGAATAAGCTGTTAATCAAACAAACATCATTCAATAAGATTGAAGAACTTGTGCAGTAAACAAGGCATCCTATTTGAGAAAAAATGTTTTGTATTTATATTTTTATAACTATTTTAGCTCACATAAAATTCTTTTATTATAGTTTTTAAAATTAATAATTTTTTGACTGTGCCTACTTAAGTTATTCGTTCATTTTCCAGTATGGGTTTAAAATTTAAACTTTAAACTATTAGACGGACCATTACCTAGTCGACTTGGGTTGCAATTTTTCCTATTATCATTAATAACAAATAATTATCAAATAAAGTCATGTATAAATCATATGTTCTTTTGTAAGACATATTACGTTTTTTGATCTCTTGGAGATTAACTATTTATGACTTGTTCTCTTTTACATGAAATCAATCCACACGAGGTTATTACAAAAAAAATAATAAATTTAAAAAAGGTCTCATAAGTAAAAAAATAAAAAAATTATATAGTTAAAAAGGTATTTTTTTCACTCCTTCATATTTTTAATTTTGGAACTATATATAATATACTGCAAAAAAAAAAAAATGAAGTGGAGTTTATCTGGATGTTGTAATAAGGGTCTTAAGACTGTAAGTCTCTTAAATAATTTATTGAACAAAAGATAAAAAAATCAACTACTATTGCTGTCACTACATTGAAAGAATCAAGATTTTTTGAAAAACATACCGATGAAAAATAATATAAATCATCACCTAAAAATAAGGATAAAATACAGCTCAACGTAATTTTAATGATTATAACTGACACGTACAAGCGCTGGTAAACATATAAAATCTATTCTCATAGATGCGCGTATACGAATTGTGAAATTCAATTTAGAATTTAGCTCATACGCAGTTTCCCAAGGAGATTGTATAAAGCGCAGCAGCACAGAGGCCCGTCGCATATTATCGATTGGTGGTGATTGTGTCCTACATATTTAAGCCTTAGACCCATCTTTCCAATGTTATATGAAATAAAAATGCACGTGTCTACTTAAAAGATGGTGCACAAAAAATATCTCTAATGATTTCAGATTAAAAGGGACTCTGTTACGTTTAAATAACTCATAATACTAAGATATTATGATAAATATACATATTTTTTAATAAAGATAAAAATACTATTTTATTTAAATTAGTAATAGATAAAATTACCATTGGCGTCCACTTTAATTTATATAGAATTAATCATAGTTATATAGTATAAATTCCCTTCAAATTCCTCATTTTAAGGACAAAGACTCAAAATTAGAGTTATTATATTTTCATTGTATTCATAGGTAAACTATATAACTTCTTTGAAAATTAACAACCCCAATACTATTGCTTCTCCTTGTATGTCTTCATTATAGTTTCAATTGAACTTCTTCGTTTTATAATTTTATAAGTCTATAATTTTTACAATCTTCACAATCTCAATTCATTGTTCAACTAAATATTATTAGTATGTCTACGATTATTATTTAAATATTTTTTCTGTTTTTAACATAAACATTTGGGCATATTTCAGCCTTTATTGGCCTTCGAATTCTTTTGATATTATCAATCGGTTTAATCAAATTTTCATTAATAATTAAAAAACAATTTATACTTAACCAAGTTGAGTTACCAACTATCATTAAAAATATTAACTTAACGTTATCATTTTCAAAGTATAAAACAGGGTAAGGGAATAGAGTGAAATATTTACTGCTTTTATCAAGAGCATGATTAAGGATGGATGATGGGGATAATTTCCTTTTAACAAAAAATTAGTTATTTGCCGAAGATGCAATTTTTTTTCAATGGGTTTAACGAAAAATGTTCGTATGTATGTCTCGACCTTGAACAAATCATAAAACCACTGTTCTTTATAGTATTTGCATTTTATAAAGTTGTAGATGTTACAAGTTCAAGCATTTATTTAATTTCATATTTTATAATACTTATAAGATAATTATTTTGCTTTATCTGAAGGAAATTATTTTTAAAATTATGAGGCATTATAACTTATGAAATAGTAAATATATATATTTTTTTGTGTAAATAGTAACAAAAAAACATTTAAGTACTCAAAAGTTATTATGAAAAATGTTTGTTTTCTTTAATACAAAAGAATTTGTAAAAAGGAAATATAACTTTTAATATGTAAATAGTTCTTTGAAAAATTAGAAATCTCTTATGTTAAATTAAAAATATTTCCACTATATTGTTATAACAATTTAAATGTCAAACATTTTTTTTTATTTGAAAGAATTGGTGAATTGTTAATAAAATTATATTTACTATAAAAAAATATTTTAAGTGCAAATATTAATAATATTTTTTTTACAAATATCATTTTTTAGTGGGATGTCATTTCATTTTATTATTATGAAACGTACAACATTTTTTACTAAGATTGTGACTCATGATTAATGTAAAAAAAAATTACAAATATAACTCGGCATTTTTAAATGTCTAGCATATTTACTATTTTATCACTAAAAGTTAATACCTACAGAGCACAAGGGAGAAAAAATAACACCAATTTTAAGTTTTAAAGTGTCGTATTGTATCTTCTCATTTTTTTCATTTTACAAAATAAATAAATATGTTTTTATATTGAATTACAACATCAATGAGAAACTTAAAAATCAATAAATAAATAATAAACATAAAATTATATTCTAATCAGACTTTCTATAGGGTAGAGGAATTTACAATAATAATAGTTAAAATAGGTAAGTAATAGTATAAACAATAGTATAATAATTACAAACCAATATTACTTAATTTTTATCCACCGGCATAAATTAGCTAGTAGTTTTCATTTTAGAATAACACATGATTTTGCGTTGGTGTATTCCAGGAACAGTAAAGTATATAATATTTCTTATTACATAAAAATTATTTTGCGTGACTATTAAAATGATTGTAAACATTATACATCACTAATATTTAAGTAATATTAGAGAATTGCTTTCATACATAAATAAATTTTACCTATATATTATATACATCAAGTAATAATTTACAATTATATATTTATCTTAAAAATCAAATAGACTAGTAATGGTATATAAATTTTATAAAAGACTGAAAGCATACAAACAAAAAATGGTATGACAAATTTAAAGGATAAAAACAAATTTATCAAATAAGATTAACCTTCTCAATTCTAGATGTTAAACAACGAACCAATAAATAAACTATAATAATAAATAAACTCAAACCCAATTAAAAAATATAATTTGATTTTTGAAAAAAATAAAAATAATTTAATAATAAGAAAGAAACTTTCACACAAAAACACTCTTTGAAACAATACAGAGACTATGTGGTATACAACAGGATAAATCAACGAAAACAAACAAATTTGTAACAATTTAAAATGAAGCACTTTTATATACTATGAAAATATATTGATAAAATAATAATTAATTATTAATAATAAAAAAATAAAAATATCAACATGTTTTTCAGCACCGGTTATACCTGTGTAATAATTTTTCTAAAGATTCAATGGCAGCCAAAAATTGTCAACAGCCGCCAAAAAAAAAAAAAAAAATCGATCGTAGTACTTCAAAATAACCAAAAAAGAAAAATATTCCAACTTGAATTTTTTTTTTTTAGGTGAAGGTCAATCGATTCTTTTGTATAGTCGACAATTTAGTCAATTTAACTAAGTTTATAATTTTTACAGAGTACATCATACATACTATACTGGTCAAGTACTACTTTCTATTCTGTAAATACCAATTTTCGATTTTTTTAATTTCAATAAGTATAATATATTTAAGATTCGTTGATTTCATATTGTGACAACAACGCATTTCAAACTGATATTGAATTGAATAATACAAATGTTTATACCGTTCAATTTTTATATAATTAAAAAAGGATTCTTTTTTAATGCTTGCGTTACAGAAAAAGTAAGTAGTATTTATCCTGATCTGTATGCCCAAAAGTTTTCTAAATAATAATATTTCCCAGGTAACTTTTTACCATCAAATAATCGAACGCGATATTCAAAATAGTTTTATTCGACTTTTACGGGATATTCTTGGCGGAAGATGAAGATGGTGCAGTTGCTGGTGTAGTCCATTTCCATCGGCTACCATATTTTTTTTCTTGACTGAAACAAAAAATAAAGAAACTTATATATTTTTTCTAAGCTTATATATGGATTTTACATAAAATTCTATATTTGCATTTTATTATTTTTTAAGATAAATTGCTAATTATGTAAATATGACATGTAACATGACACAATTTAAGAATAAATTAAATTTTTAAAAATATTATTTTGTCTAAACAATTAATTTTAAACTCCTTAACCATGTACAATGTTGATAAATGTTAATTTTTTGTAAGAAAATAGTGAACAAAAAAAATGTTTTAATAAAAAGTTTTGATCTTCTAAGTTTAATCGATACAATTTAAACACAACAAATTAATTAGGTGCTATAAAAATTATTCTTAATGCAAATTACATAAAATAAAAATATGTTTCTTATACAATTTGCAAGTAAATAATAAGTAGACATTGAGAATTAAAAATATCAGCAAGAAAATGTATACTTTCTGGCGATAGTTTTAGCACATATCTGTTAAATTTATTACCTCAGTTAAAAAATGATTAGAGATTGTAAATACTATACAATGTTTTTATTATTATATGAGTGTCAAGTAAAATTTTATCATTGTAACTCATCTCTTATCGTATTAACTCTATTATCCGAATATATTCGTTAAAACCACAATTTCTTAATTGCTTTTTTTTTTGCTAATATTCAATAGTTAAGTATATTTAATTCAGTTTATTTATGCTCCTCACAAATGTTAACGTCACAAAAATGTTTACATAATATCAAAGAAAAAATCTTAAAAGTAATTATTTTTAATAATACGCGATAATTAACTAAATTAAACGCAAAACAATCATACAATTTTAATTTTACACTGTAATAATATACAACATATAATTTTTTTGACAAATTAGTGTTTAGACTATTTTAGATTTTTGAAAAATTGATTTATTTTGAAAAATAATTTATTTATCTTAAATTTTTTAATTTTAGATGAAATTATAAAATATTTATATTTATGGCATATATTTGAAACACTAGTTAAACAGAGTTAAAAGCAATAAATAATTACTGTTTGTAGAATTGTTATTTGTGAAAATTAAATAAACAAAACATGTTTTATGAAAAAAGTTTTGAATTTTAGAGATATTTACTATTTCATTTATAGTTTCAATTTAAATGTTTTGTTTGCTAATGCGGTTGTAAATCAGTACATCTGAAATATTTATTGAACTTAATTCATAAAATATTGCGTTTAAAATTTTATGTGCAAGTGTATTTTCTTTTATGTGATATTAAATGAAAATATATTCTCACAATAATTACGACACATATTATCAAAGTATAGTTTAACATAGTTTTATTAATAATATTATTATACATGTGTAATTGTTAAAACAAAAGAAATTTGTTTGCAAACTGTCGGTTAGACATATTATTTAGATTCAATTAACCCATTGGTTGTAAAATATATAACTGATACATTTTGTTAGGATTTGAATAAAAACAAGTGGATGAATTAAAATTAAAAACGACATTCAGTTTTGGGCTTACTATTGGTGAAGAACGTTATGGTAACAGATTCAGAAAAAGAATGCATAGAAAAGTTATAAATATTTATTTTGAGAGACAGAAATTTTTATAAACTATTATTAAGAATGACTATCGACTAATTATACTTATGCGAAGAATTTAAAACTAAAATTTTGATAATAAATATTTTATAAAATAAATTTTTAAAGCGTACGTCTTACAACGCTATTTATAAAAAAAAAAGTTAAAACCTGAATTATAAAAATGATCTTATTGTTTGTAGAAAACTATTGTAATAAACATTATTTTTATATATAAAATACATTGAGAGTACGTTATAAGTAGTAATGGGGAATATCGAATAGTAACTATCGAACTATTCGAATAGTAAAAATATTCAATAGTTACACAATATATTCGAATAGTTTTTAAAATATTTGATATTTTATGTTAAAAATAAAATATTTGGTGGTATAAACACAATTTGAATAGTTAATCGATAGTTTAAAATATTTAGAAAAGCCCATCACTAATTTTTTTTTATTATTAATTGTATTCCATTTATAATCGTAGTACCCTGAATAAACAGTTTTAAACAATCCTATTTAAATCGTTAGTGTTATTAAAACAGCAAAACTATAAATCTGACTATAATTTTACATAAGACCAATAAAATTTAACTTAATATATTTTTTTTTACAAAATATTTTGTTATAAAATGATTATTTAAAAAATTAAGAATGATTTATATTCAAAATATGAATTTTAGCAAATTATTTTTTCATTTTATTTTTTTGAGCAAGTAAAAATAATTTTAGAAAATTGTTGTAAATACCATTTTAGAAGAAAATATTAAAATATTAAAATCTATAATTTATATTTTATACTCTGTTATGCTAAGTGTGTTAGTTTTAAAAAATTTATCTCATTTTATAAAAGCTAATTCAACAATAGTTTCTTAAAAATTATATTTAATCTTCGTGGTTAACTGCATTTAACCTTCATATAGTAAAAAGATACAGAACTTCAAAATTCTTATTTTATTGTGTTAATAATATTTAACATTAAAGATTTACTAGTATAGTGTTTACTTAGTTTCTATTGTTAACAAAAATGTTGGGTTTGGTTTTACAGAAAGTCAGGAGCTATTTTTAAGGTATACAAAACTATTGTGTAAGGTGTGTCGTTTATTGTGGCATCCCATCATATAACCAGTTAAATATATTTTATGACGAGTGCATTAGTCAATAAACATTTTTTTTTTAAATACAATTATCTGATTAAAATTTATGTTTGTGAACTATTACTTATAATACTTAAAATTATTATTATACGTCTAAAACTCCTCAAATTATAAAAAAACATTTGTTATGCATAACCAAGTTTGAAAGTTAAAGATAATATGAATTTTAATAAACTCGAATTTAGTTTTGATAAAGGATACATTTGTTTGACTACTTTCCAGATACAAAAAAAAAAATAAAAAATCGAACGTCTTTAGCTAAACACTCATTGGATCATGAAGAATTATTAATTGAGTATAATATACTCAACCCTTTTTTATCGAGCTATTAAAATAGATTGAAAAATAATTAAATACGCCGTAAATCAATTTCAGTTTGTTCAGGTAAAAATAGTATTCTGAAAAAAATATGGCTAAAAAGTGATTTCTTTTTTACTTTGGTAATCAAAACGATAACGATATTATATTAACGAAAACATTTGCTGATTTTTGTTTGAGAGAAATAAAACTAGTTCATAAAAAATTAAGATAAGAAATATTCACTTAATTCAGAAGAAACACTGTGAAATAATTATTAAAAATATTTTTTTTAACTTTAGGTAAGCATTTTTTCTTAATTTCATGTAGACATAAATACAGCAATATCATTAGATTAGTTATTTTCACTGGATATTAGCTGAACGTACTTTTTTTTAAAACAAATTTTATAGAATGTAGGAAATAAAAAAATTGGCTAGCTCACATTTGATATAATATCCTTACTACACGGTTCATCCAACATCAATTGGATATTCGTAAAGAATTAAAATTTTTTGTTCACTGGTTGGTTTGACATCATATTCACACAAAAGTAAATAACAATAATATACTAAATATATTGTATAGTTAAAGTTTTTAACTATACAACTATAAAACTATAACATGAAGCGAAATATCAAATAATACTTACATAAAAATCATTGTATATTAAGAGTTTAAAATTATTTTTCAACTTTTCTCACATCTTTATTTTTAAGTTAAAAATATTCTAAGACTCAATACTCATTATAAACAATAATGGTTGATATTTATATTTAAAGAATTTAAACAAAATTATTTTACTGAAATAATGTATTTAGATTCGTAATCAAATCAAAGAAAACATTAAAATATACTGATGAGTGAATAGCTAAACAAATTATCTAACTTTAACAACATCGATCTATAAAATTAGTAAATATTCAATATGAATATAAAATTAAACACAACACATTGTATTAATATAATACAAATTTAAATCGACAAAATTTATTAATTTTCATTGGCTTCTGAATTATTTTTATATAATTAATAATTTCATTTCTCAATACAAATTTTGAAGGTTTCAAAAAAAAAAGTTGAACTATTTTTTTCATGATATATAAATTTCAATTAAAGTTAATTAAAGTTTTTCTATCTAACAGTGATTTCTATGTGTATGTGACCAATTAATTTAAACGTTCTATTTTAAAAGGTTGAATAATCATTATAATACTACGTCATGTCTGATGTCATAAAAGTATCGTTGTATTATGACAAAAATGTATAATAGACAATATTTTTAACTTATTGAAATTCTTCAAGTAGTAAATATTAACATTATAGCTAAAACTAATAAATTGAACACAATAGTCTAAATTTACAGAGAATAACATATAAATATAAATATTTTATAGAAAATGCTGATTATGTTAACTTGAACGAGAAATAAGCAAATCATGAATATCTAAATCAGACAAATGATATAATTCTATTGGTAACCTAACAGTAAACAATTACAATGTTTAAAAAAATGATCATTATATAGTTTGTTCGTGGATCCAGTTCATAAGATTTAATCATAAACTATAGAATAATTAATTAATATTTTTATAGTTAAATTATTCTATAAGATACCAAATAAAAAAAGTTTTATAAACATTTTGTTTTTTTAAGGAGAAATCAAATTTCAGAAATTTGACAACGTGTCACTAAACAGAAGTTCAGTGCCCTGAAGCCAAATATTAAGAAAATTGATGCTGGAAATTTTGGTCGTTGGCCATGACCCCATACATTGAATTGCATATAACTATTCAGTTATTCACAGCGAAATGAATATAAAAAAAGATTGGTAAATATAAATATTGAAAAAAGTACAATATAAAATTATAAATTAAAAATTATAGAATCCAACCGTTTATTTCATGTTAAAATTTACCAAATTAAATTTGTTGTACGGTAATTTTGAAATAATCTATAGAAATGATACAGCAGCAACAAATATACCTTTCACTCCTTACAATGAGGACGAACAATACAAAGACCCACAATTTTTTCAACACTTAAAATAATTGTTTTCTTTTTTAATTATAGACTCGTTGTTAAATACTATACTTTTATATTTTAGCAATTAATAGAGCTTGACAAAATGTATTAACTAAAACCCTTTTAAGTGTAACTACATAAAAATCTCACTATTGTTTTATCTAATGGTTGTCTTAAAATTTTTTCGTTTTTAAATAGAAGTTATAATTTTTTATAATTGACAAAATGATTAAAAATAATATTTATCTACAATTTATTTTTTATTACAATATACTATGATATTGTCCATGTATAGATATAAAAACAATTTTTCAATAATAATTATTCATAAAAAATTAACATGTAAAAATTCTCATAAATTGTAAAACAAATAAGTAGCTCATACGTTGTGTTTTTTAAAAAAATTATTTGAGTACTTACATGAAATAAAATGCTTTTTATCGGGGTAATGTGCCTTTTTATTTTACATGTAATATTTTTTATTGATTCAATATATTTTAACTTTAATGTTCGTGTCATTAAATTAAGATATAAAATGTCTAAAACGTATAGATAGTGAATAACAAATTGATTATAAATTATTATTTTTACTACAGCACTATAGTTCTATGTTATTATAGCGATATTAAATGTATTTACCTGCTAAATAATGGATGCCACAGTTGAGAACCCAACAAACTTTCGTTTCCATTAGCTCTAGCCAAGTGCAATGCGCCTTCGATGTTCAATAATTTAGGTTTTGCGTTGGGGTCAATTAAATGTTGCTTAACTTTAATTTTTGGTCGGAATGAATCACTGTTGGACTTGTTATTAAAAAGAAGATTACTAGAAGATCCGCTGGCTGCCACAGTCGGAGATTGATGTTCACTGCTATCACTGCTATTGTAACCGGCACTTCCATTATTACAATCAGTAGATGGTTGCAGGTTTTCAAAACTTATTTGCTGAGGATTATTTACGCGCTTATATGGTGATGGTGGCGCAGATGGGGTTGTTTGCTGTTGCGGTAGATTTAATCCTGGAGATTGTAGCAACGGCGATGGAGTTTCTGAACCATTATAAGCGTAACCAATATCTGTCGGATAACAACAGCTAATGTCACTTGGAAAAACTGAACATGAAGTTTTATTAGTACTACAGTCGGTTGGAGAAACGTTATAGGAATCATAACCAGGTTTTGTCCAACAATTGTCGTAGCAGATAGGTGGACCATTGCCACAACATGAGTCAGGCTGTTGTATCCGTCGTCGCATAGAAGACGAAGGGATAGTCGGTTTACAGCAATCTACAGATTTACTGTAGCCGGTTTGAGCGTACGAGGGTATAGACGATGTAGGAGTCGATGAGAAATATGTATCTTGCCATGCGTTTTTCGGTTGATTGTAATTGAAACTTTGTTGACCTGTTACGTGATTAGGTAACAAAAAGCTTAACATAGATAAGAGTTCAGCGTCGGATCCCGCCACATCTTTAGATAAGTATGGTAACCACATCATATGGTCAATAGCTGCTTGTTGTTGATTTTCCGATTTTCGATCATTTCCAAAGCACAGTTGTTGCATTAATAAAGACCGTAAATGTGATAATGATACAACTAATAAATCAGGATCTGGAAGTGGTAGTAGTGGTGGCGTTTTCAAAAGTCGAGGTATTTCTTTGGCAGGACTTGCCACAAGAGCAGCCAGCCTGGCTCGAGGCACCAAAAGGGGATCTGGTACGGAAAGTCCGGGGTCAGATAAAACTTCCTTCAATTCAGACAAAGGGTCCCACTCGCGCTTCAAGTTTTCGTTGGCCACAGGTGGTAGCGAAAACGGAGGCGGGACGGTTCGTGTCTTTTTTGTAGGCGGCCCCTGCAATCGTATCTCTAATGAAGGTCGTTTGCCCACGGTTTCTAAGTTAAGAGGTTCACTTTGTTGTTGTGGTATAATGGTAATTTCACCAAAATGTATAGGAGTCATCGGCGGTGGTGGGCCTGGTATACTCGGTTCACTAATAAGTTCCTCTGACTTTACTTCATGAATAGTAGTACCTTCGGGTAATTTGATAACGGTAGTATCAACAAAGGAATGTTCGGTTTTTACTTCGTCCAGTATAGCAACGTCTTGATCAATGAATTCCAACGCACGGTCTATGCCAGCCCTTTGTTCTTCGTCTTCGTCTTCGTCATCCAAAGTGTAGGCAGATTCTAATAATTCAATTGAGTTGTCGTTTTGATCCAACAACAATGGTTCTTTGACTTTATCTTCTGAATACGATTCTTGGGTTTTTAGACAAGGTTCTTCTAATATTGATGATGATTCATTAACTTTTGGGCAGGGTTCTTCGGTGGTGACTACGTTGACTATAGAACTGTAAACTTTTTTTGCGACTGCATTTTCCTTTTCGGTCTCCGTAGTCACCACCGGTTGAGCAACAGAAATAGGGGCAATACTGGAAGTGGCTGTCAAAATTTCAGATCTAGGACTAGCTTTCCAACCATTTGCTGTTTTCACTAACCTAATTCTATTGCGCTTATCGTAATCCTCGCATAAAACTCGGACAATTTTCGATTCCTTCTTTTTAGCCCATAAAAATATAGGGCTCACCTGTTGGTCCTGTCGTCGACGGTCACCATTTCTTTTGTGATGATGATGATGATGATGATGTTTACGACGTTTTTTTCCAGATTTACGACGACTATTATAAGATGTTTTTTCTTCGTCCGATTCCGACGACTTGGTTTCTATCATGTCATTGCCACCATCGTCAGTCGCCAGGTTATTGGGTTCACAGAGCGCGCCATCAGTACCGACATCATCGGGTGCACCTGTACCGGAATTATTATTACTATCGTCTCTGGTGACCGACTTATCCGGCAGAGCTTTCATTTTTTCTTCGATATTGGCACGAGCTCCATCTGGGGCAAATAAACAACTTCGTGTCCAAACCGTCGCGTATAATACTAAAAATTCATGGTAATAACGAAGAAAAGTTTATTTTTCACATTAATGTGACCATAAAAATTTTGAATGTAAATAAACTAGCGACGCCCGTTCACCACCAAGATAATATTAATGTGTACACACATGCATGCACTCGGGCAGGCGCGCGCACTTACACACACACACACTTACGGATATACGCGCACAGAAATCGTCGACGGGAAACAGCTGTATATCGCAGCTAACCGGTAGGAGTTACTAGCCGGCGGCAGCAGCGTTGTCGACGCTACACAAGTAAAATTCTTTCGGCTCAAGTATTGTTCGGTCGGCAACGGATACTTTCGGCCTCTGTCGGCCTGCAGACCACAGCTATTGGTCGGCTAAGTTTTCGTGTTAGGCGTTACCGCGTTGTAGACGTTCCGAAAATATCCCTCCCGCCTCTGCTACCACCACATAATTCTGACTGATCACCCGCCAACTTACACTTTTTCCAGACTTGCATGTGAATTTTCATCGTTAGTCGAACCACTATGATAGAGGAAGAGAAAAAGATAGTAGTGGTAAACCAATTTTCCACCAACGCTACGGTATCGATCTCATGAGCTATGTTAGTTTCAAATTTCAAAAACTATCTAAAACGTCAAAGAGGCTTACCAACAGACAAAACGTTAATTTTTAAGTTAAAATGATTCCAATTTTTGTTAATTTTAAATATGAACATGATAACTATCAAAAAATACTAGAAATATAATTGGGAAAACTTGATTTTTATAATTAAAGTTGATTACTAACAACTAAATTAATTATAAGTATATACATTTTAAAATGCAAAACGTACTTTGATAATACAAGCATATGCCTTGATACACCACTTAAGATAACTATAGATTGATCAATTATAAAACTTATCAATTAATCAATTTATAAATTTATTTAATACCTTACTGTTACTTGTTAAAATTATTAATAATTCTATTTGATTGTAAGCTATAGTAGAGCACTACAATCGAAAGTTCACGAATAAAATAAACTTAAAATATTCTAGATTGTTTGTAAATGACATTATTTTAAATTCATCTAATTATAGTTCTTTCAAATTTCCTCATATATTTTTTATATAAAATTTTAATAATTTTACATAGGGCTAAGTATTTTTTATAATTCAGATATAGAATTTTTTTTTATTGCTCATTTATAACTAAATCGACTTTTTTTACAATTGTTTAATTTGTGTCAAAGATTTTCTCTTTTCTCTACAAGGTTTAAATCGAAACAAATATCGATTTTATAAAACAGTTATTTTTTACCTTTTATATTTATGATTATTTAAGTTAATCAATTAATTTATGAAGATTAATTACCTGAGAACTGTTACCTCACTTTCTCGTCCTCTGTATCCAGTAACTTTTCTTAGCTTTGAAACTATCACTATTTTATGTAGTAAAAATTATACTATATAATATACCATAATAATAATATCATTATCATTAATTTCAACACAGTAGATAAAATAATTATTAATTGTAAGTTCATAAAAACTCCACTTCAATATTTTACTAGCCTATGTAAAATTTTTAAGAAATATTTAGTAAAAACTTAATATAGTTTTTAAATTTTGATTGATTACCATATAATACTTACTGTATTACCTACTTTAATTATATATACTTTATATATATTATGTGTGATGAATTAAATATGAAAATAAAATAAATATGCAACTGTTAGTTGTAAAAAAAGTGTACAAATTAGAGTTTTGATTAGGGTTGTGTTGGAATTATTCTAACACATTATGTCACTGAACATGAACGTATTTTACATTGCATAATTTTTTATTACATATATTAAATAATATACTAAATAATAGATTTGTGTAGTTCATAATCTAATTCCCGCATAACCATAATCAAAACTCTGAATTTTGTACATCATATATAATTTATAAAAATTATTTTTAATTAAGCAAGAAAATTAACTTATTAAACTATTAAAAATTCGTGATTTATTACGAACATATTTTTAAGTTAAAATAACGTAATAGAGTTAAATAAATTAAACGTTCAATTCACAGTTGTCTCTAAATAAGTTGAATTTTATTTTAGTTAACTCTCCTAAAAGTCTTTATAAAATACATAAATAATGTTATACATTTAAAAGTATCATTTAAAAAATGACATGATATTTTTAAAAAGGCAGAAAATAATATGATAATATTTAGTGGATGACGTTATCTATTTTTGTAGGAGATAAAAGACGGTCATTATCTAATAACAACTTAATGTGTGGGCGAGTAAATTAAATAGGATATTTTTTATAACGACTTTATACAACCAACCCTAATAAAATTTGTTGCTTGCGTGACAGTCTAAATATTACTTATTGATGAAAAGGCTTTAAATCCGAATTATTTAATTTAGTATAAAATATTAATGTTATGATGTTTCTTTATTCTAATCAAATAAAAAGCTATTCATTTTTAATTGAAGAAAACAACTATCAAAAATTTAATTAAACAAACATACACATTAAATACAAATAAAAGTAAATCGTATGAAATATTTTCTATGGTTTAAATATTCTTTAGATTCTAATATTTAAAGTCGATATTTTTAGATATATTTGAAACTGTAATCTTATGTTGACTTGAAAAGTATAATCAGAACAGTTTATAATTATATACAAATAATAATATTATATTCTTTATATTAAACTGATACGATTTCATTATTTTTATTATTGATTATTCAACATTTTGAGGAGTAATTACATTTTAAAACAAATTTTATATTTTTCCTCGTAATCTACTAAATGAGAATCCATTGTTCACAAAGTGAATACTAAAATCTTTAATGTTAGTTCATAATGCTTTCTTTAGATTCTTGAGCTACTATTATGCATAGAATAATACGTTTATAAATTAAAACTATTATAGAAGTTCAATACGTAAATTCAACGTTTGTAATAATACGTACATGTATAATTAATTAAAATTTTCACTAGTGTAATGTCTGTTCTAAGTGTTTTATAAAGTGATTCTTTTATTACAAACCATTTTATTAATCGAAAAATAAAAATGTAAAATATTTTATTTTTATTTTATTAAATTTATCAATCATAAAGTATTTTTTATTTTCATCCTTAATAAAGATGTCGACTTCAATTTTCATATGGCAACATAAATAATTAACACGCTTATTTAATAGATAACAATAATAACTTTAGGACCGGTATTTTGGAAGCTATTAAAAATTTAAAGTAATGACTAGAGGTGAGACGCGAATAACGTTATTTTTAGCATTAGACATTTCTTAGCCGTACTACTCCTACCACCTATGCATAAAAGTGTTAATCACTTAAATAATAAATTAGATCATATATATTAATTAAGATAGTTGATTTTTTATATTATCATTTAAAAAATAATATAAATTTATAATATTTTTAAACAGGGATGAGCATAAAAAATACTTAATAATAGATAAATTGAAAAAACAAGCAACTAAATGAAACAATAAAAATAATTTTAACATTTCTTTATTTTTCGATTAATTAAGTGATTTGTGATAAAAGAATCACTCTGTATACTGTACAATAAATAGTCTTAAACCAACAGAAAATGTAATAATTAAGAAAACATTAACTATAAGCAATTAACATACCTAATATCAATAAAATCAAAAACGGCCAACTATAACATTTTATTATTAGTTAAAATATAGAAAATTTTACTCAAAATTTTTTTATGTTGTGTTTAAAAACTAAAAAATATTTACTAAAGTTAAATATTTAATTAATAATTGTTTCATGAAAAATTAAATTCTAGTTACTATTAACCTACTAAAATTTCATATTAATATTAATTTATGCTATTTGGAAAACAATTACAGTCACATAAATTTTATATTTTATATATAATTTTTGTTATTCAATACATACATATTCCCAACACATGAGTATACTTTTTTTTATTTCTTGACGTATTTTTAATAAAAGGAAATTTTTTTTCAAGGCCATACTCGGGGAACTTTCGAAATTTTTTTAAAATATACATATATAAATAATATTTATACATATATTTATTAAAGATATATATAAAGTTCACCCAATCCTCTATGAATGCATACATATTTTAGAACCCTACTAAAATAATATTCTGAATACGACCTTGTTTTTACTCATAAAATATTAAAAAACAATTTTTTTGTCACTTTTACAAAATAATTCTCGTACTATTTTCTATTATTCTACTGCTAGTATCTGGTTTTATATTAAGCATTGACATTTCGTCATGGGGGAGATATTTATAAGAAAATTTTTCTTATGTATATCTTAGTTTTTCAATTACCCCTGCAAACGAAAAATAATTGTATCTTTACTATGTTATTATTGCTTATTATTTTTTTCATGGGGTATATGACACCCATATTCCTCCTATGATTATGCCAGTGTTTTAGGAGGTATAAGCCTAAAATTAATTTAGTTTAATGATGTTATGTATGATATTTATTTATATGATATTGATATAATATTTCATGAGTTATTTGATGAATAAGAGTACATCGTGAAATACACAGACGTATACTATGTTCCAATTCACTCATATACAGGGTGATCAGTAAGTAGGGAAACAGGTCAATTATTATAAACAATGAGAATAATAGAAACCCGTTTTCTTACTTACTAAACACTCTATATAATATAATGTATACATTATAATTATTTTACGATAACACTAGACAATAATAAAAAGGTTCCCTACTTATTTTTAAAAAAATATGTTTTTAATGCATGCATAGTAAGGAAAATTTTTTATAAATTATATTAAAATTTTATTTGCTTACAAATTTCCGATACTTAATGTCGAAATTTCACTACTTGTGTATAAAATTAACGTTTATATTAAAGATATACTGACGTATGGGAATTTTCGAATTATTTTTTATAGTTTTTTGTGAACATTTTATTTTAATTTGCAATAAATTTCATTTGTGTTAAAACTATCTTTATGCTATTACTTTATTCTAATTATTGTATATCATTTATTAATTGGACTTAATGTTTAAAATTATGTGAATACCATAAAAAAGAAACATTGGGAATGGGTTGTATTCAAAATTCAAATCTTTCCTTACGCTATGTGTTTTTAAATTTCTAGTCTTTCATATATTTTTTAACAATAATATCCATACAAAATTATAAAACTTTAAAAATCGTTAAAATTTCTTGTTATATACATTGTGAAAATTAATTAATAATAAGTTTCATCATTCTTTCACTT